TCAAAAGAAGATGGAAGCAATACACAGTCACTGTACCAAAATGAACTGGTCAACATTCAACCATTTCAGGAGGTAGCATATGATTAAGAACTGATGGTACTGAAGGAAGAGGTCCAAGCTGCACTTAAGGCACTGACGAAAAACAAGGCTCCAGGAATTGACAGAATACCAATTGAGATGTTTCAACAAGTGGATGCAGCACTTGAAGTGCTCACTTGTCTATGCCAAGAAATTTGGAAGACAGCTACCTGGCCAACTGACTGGAAGAGATCCACATTTGTACCTATCCCAAAGAAAGGTGATACAAAAGAATGCAGAAATTATCTAACAGTATCACTAATATCACACACAAGTAAAATTTTGCTGAAGATCATTCAAAAGTGATTTCAGCAATACCTTGACAGGGACCTGCCAGAAATTCAAGCCAGATTTAGAAGAGGACATGGAACAAGGGATATCATTGCTTATGTCAGATGGATCATGGCTGAAAGCAAAGATGTCTACCTGTGTTTTATTGACTCTGCAAAGGCAATCGACTATGTAGATCATAACAAATTATGGATAACATTGTGAAGAATGGGAATTCCAGAACACTTAATTGTGCTCATGAGGAACCTAAACTTATACCAAGAGGCAGTTGTTTGAACAGAACAAGGGGATAATGTGTGGTTTAAAGTCAAGAAAGGTGTCCATCAGGGTTGTAGCTTTTCACCATACTTACTCAACCTGTATGTTAAGCAAATAATTCGAGAAGCTGGACGATAGGAAGAAGAACAGGGCACCAGGATTGGATGAAGACTCATTAACAACCTGTGATATACAGATAACACAACCTTGCTTGCTCCAAGTGAAGAGGACTTGAAGCACTTACTGATGAAGATCAAAAACCACAGCCTTCAGTATGGATTACAACTCAACATAAAGGAAACAAAAATCCTCACAATTGGCCCAATAAGCAACATTATGATAAATGGAGAAAAGCTTGAAAATTATCAAGGATTTCATTTTACTTGGATCCACAATCAACACCCATGGAAGCAGCAGTCAAGAAAACAAAAGACAAATTGCATTGGGCAAATCTGCTGCAAAAGACCTCTAATTTAAAGTGTTAAAAAGCAAAGATGTCACCTTGAAGACTAAGGTGTGCCTGCCCAAAGCCATGGTATTTTCAATCGCCTCATATGCATGTGAAAGCTGGACAATGGATAAGGAAGACCAAAGAAGAGTTGATGCCTTTGAATTATGGCGTTGGCAAAGAATATTGAACATACCACGGACTGCCAAAAGAACAAACAAGTCTGTCTTGGAAGAAGTACAGACAGAATGCTCCTTAGAAACAGAATGGCAAGACTTTGTCTCATATATTTTGTATGTTATCAGGTGGGACCAATCCCTGGAGAAGGACATCATGTTTGGTAAAATAGAAAACCAAACAAAAACATCAAACCCATTGCCATTGAGTCGATTCCGACTCATAGCGATGCTATAGGACAGAGTAGAACTGCCCCATAGGGTTTCCAAGGAGCGGCTGGTGTATTTGAACTGCTGACCTTTTGGTTAACTACTTCATCACCAAGGCTCCAACCCACTGCCGTGGAGTCGATTCTGACTCATGGTACCCCGTAGGGTTTCCAAAGAGCAGCTGGTGGATTTGAACTGCCGACCTTTTGGTTGGCAGCCGAGCTCTTAATCGCGACACCTCAGGGTTCCAGCTTGTTAAAAGTAGAAGGTCAGCAAAAAAGAGAAAGACCCTCAACAAGACAGACTGGCACAGTGGCTGCAACAATGGGCTCAAGCATAACAGTAATTGTGAGGATGGCACAGGACCGGACAGTATTTCATTTTGTTGTACATAACGTAGCTGTGAGTCGGAACCAACTCGATCGCACCTAACAATACCACCACCAATATGTATACATACACATACTAACATATATAGGTAATATATATATTGCATATGTATTTATTACTATATACATGCTATATATACATGTATTATATAAATATAGCCATGTATGAACTTAGTTGGTAGAAAAGGATAAAAAGGACAGGAATGGAAGCACAATCTATTTGATAGGCCCTTTTATATATAGTTTTGACTTTGGAATCATACTATTTTATATCAAAAATAAAATTAAATCAATTAGGAAAAATGAACTAATTATATATCAAATCCATAACATAATCACAAAAATAGCGTAATTATTTCAAGTTATTTTAGAACATACTACTTTCATCACGTTCCTTAGTGGGACATAGTGTAAGGACAAAAGAAATAAAAAGAAATCTTAAAATTCATTTAGTAGCTTTATTGTTAGTTGTAATATTGGTATTGTTGTTTTTGACACCACAAGGAAACAAATAGACAAATCCAGAATGTGGGAAATTCTGGAGACTTTAACCAATGTTCCATAACAAATCAGTGGTAGCAAAATGTACTGGGAGAACTGCCATATTAAAAGAGATTTCAAAACCCTAAAAACTAAATGTGATGTGAGGTCATTGACTGTGTTATGATTCAAACAAACCCAGGTAATTTTGTAAAAATTAGGAAAATTTGATCATAATTCATCAGTTAGTACAAGGAATTATTATTATTATTATTTTAGATGTGACAATTGTTATGGCTAAGAAAGAACTATCTTATTTAAAAAAAAAATGTTTCCTGAGGTTTGGGATTTGCTTTATAAAAGAAGAAATAAAATCAATTAACAAACAAAGCATAGATGAAGCAAATGTTGAATATAAGTGATAATTATATGGAGTCTCCAGATATCATTTTACTTTTGTAAATGTTTGAAAATTTCCACAATAAAAAAATAAGATTAAAAATATATATAAACAAATAAAGAACTAACATCAAGGAGGCCTAAATAGAGCCAGGCCCCAGCAGAGAAAGGAGGCTCACTTCTAATCCCCCATTTACTCCCATCCCCACTCTTTGATATTTCAGTCCAGATCAGATTTCCCGATTATAGGGCTAAAGTAGTGGGAAGAACTGTACCTTTTGGGGGTTAAAAATTTAAGTTATATATATATCTCCAAGTATAGACATATATCATGATTGGTAAGGTAGAGGGTCAGTGAAAAAGAGGAAGACCCTCGAGGAGATGGATCGACACAGTGACTGCAACAATGGGCTCAAACATAACAGCAATTGTGAGGATGGTGCAGGACCAGGCAGTGTGTCGTTCTGTTGTACACAGGATTGCTATGAGTCGGAACTGACTTGATGGCACCTAACAATGACGATGATACCTGAGTAAAGTTTTTATCAAGTTTCTTACTTTTTGGCAACTCTTGATTACTCATTTAACTATTTTTAAACCCCTACCAATGCTATGAAGCCCTGGTGACACAGTAGTTACGAGCTCGGCTGCTAACCAAAAACTCGGCAGTTTAAATCCACCAGCTGCTCCATGGAAATCCTATGGGGCAGTTCTAGCTGTCCTATAGGGTCACTATGAGTCAGAATCAACTCAATGGCATCAAGTGTTTTTTTTGGACCAGTGCTATGCAAGGCCTTTAAGGATTTCACATAAAATTAAGTGATAAAAAATTAACTGAGTATTTTAAGCCAGGTAGTGAATGATATAGGGGTCCCTGGGTGGCACAATTGGTTAACATGCTTGGCTACTAACTGTAAAGGTTGGTAGTTTGAATCCACCCAGAGGTACCTCAGAAGAAAGTCCTGGTGATCTACTTCCAAAAAGTCACAGCCACTGAAAACCCTCTGGAGCACAGTTCTATTCTGAAACACTTAGGGTCACCATGAATTGAAATAAACTTGATGGTAACAGGTTTGGATTTGGTTTCAGTGAATAATATAATGAGATTTTTATTTTGGAATTATCACACTAGGAACAGTACAGAAGTAAGCTGAAGTCGTATTTCAGTGGGTAGAAGAGGGAAGTTGGGTGATAAAAGGTGAGAACAAGAACAGAACACTCTTTCACAAATTTGACAGTAAAGGTTAGGAGCAATGAGGCAATGGCTAAAAGTGAATGTGAGACAAAAGGAAAGAATTTTTTTTCTCCCCCTTTTAATGGAGAAATTTGATAGGAACTAGGGTGTAGTAATAAAGAAGTATTTGACATAAGACAGGTGATAAACAATGGAGAAAGGTCCCAGAGGTGACTGAAAGGTGTATTTACAGAAAATAGAAGGACTGGCCTTAAACAAGAAAAGATTTTCATTGATGAATTATACAAGATTATAAGATATGATGATGGCCGTAGATATAGATATATTGTGTGCCATCAAGTCAATTCTGCTTCATAGCAATCCTATAGGACAGAGTAAAACTGTCCCATAGGGCTTCCTAGGCTGTAATCTTTATGAGAGCTGATCGCCATGTCTTTTTTCCTGTGGAGTGGCTGGTGGGTTCAACCACCAACATTCTGGTTAGCAGCTGAACACTTAACCATTGTGCCACCAGGTCTCCTTTAGATATAGATATGCATATATAGGAGGGACTGAGAAGTTCAAGGAGACGCAGCTTGAAGAATTCTTTTTCTTTTCTGTGGCTTTTAGCAACCTTATCTGAAGAAAGAAAGGCTAGTACACGTGATGTAAGTAGCCAAGGAGAATAGTGATGAAAGGATTTGCCAGAGAACAATTATTGCCAGAGAACTATTGCTAAGAATGTGGAAAACAGAGGTGGAGCTAGGGTCCATAAAAATGTGATGTTATGAAACAGGGGTGTTATTTCCCCCAGTAGAGCTCAAATGATTACTGGGTATAAAAGGAACAAGGAGGTAAATATATTAAGGAAGAGGGGCTGCTACCAGCTACCCATTTGCTCAGTGGTGGGAACATATTCCTTTTATATACATTAAATTAATTTTATTTTCCTAATAAATCTGAGTAAAAGATTAAATAATCATGGCATGAATAAAACATGCAAAATAGTTACAATGGTCTATTCTTAAAAAGAAGTAAATGAAACAAAACATAATCATGAGAAATTATGCTTAATATTTAAATTACATTGTTCTTACCAATTCGAGTGATTTTATTATGCGAAAGTTCAAGATTCTGAATATTAGTGCAACCATCCAAACCATGCAAAGAATTAAGTTGATTTTTATTAAGAAGAAGAATGCAAAGATTTTCCAAATTTTCACAGTTGATAGTCTCAATATGGTTTTCCTAAAAAAAAGGACAACTGTAATTACTTTTATTTCATTTATGACTTATTAATGAAACTTTTAAAGCTTGCAAAAAGAGCAAGAATGATACGTGGTCTCCTCATGAATATCTAAATATCTACTGTCTAAGGTAACTATACGACTGTTATACTATCTGATGAAAATATTAAGTAATAAATAATTAACTGATTTTAATTTATTAATATTCTTTTAAAATGGAGATAATACAATAAATAATCTTGTTTGTCTAACAACCTAAATGAACAAAGTGAATATTTTGCCATAGTTATCACAAAACTTATTTTTAAGATGTCAAATATTGAAAAAGTTCAAGCTCCCTGATTTACCAACCCCAGTCCATTTTGCCCCTAAAGACTCAAAATCATGAATTGGGTGTATATCTCATGCAAAGATTTACATTTTAACTACACACACAACTCTACAATACATAATATTGGCCTCAGGATAAAGATCACATCAAGGATGCTTAGCAAGTTCCTGTGTAAGACTTCAGAAAAATAAATATGTCTCTAAAATATTAAGGGTATGTTCCATAGCACTCCTCTAGAAAGAGGCTTGTCTCAAAAAGATTTCTAAGCATAGCCCTTGTCTAGTGGAATAAGCTAGTAAGAAGCATAAGAAACCCACAAAGTTTTAAAATACATCATTTTGATGGAAGAAGTGTCAGTTTGAACTAAAATGAGGAGAGATAGTTAAAAACGAAAAGATGCCACTAGGTCCCAAACTTCTATGGGAAAGAAACAGGCTGAGAAAAATTCTCAGCCTTAAAATGGGATATTTCTTTTTTTTATTGTTGTAATTAAATGAAGTTTACATTTCCAGTTAGTCTCCCATACAATTTTTTTTTTTTTTACACACATTGTTATGAAACCCAACCGCTCACCCCATTCTGCGACAGCACACTCCTCCCCTCTGCCCCTGATTCCCCATGAACATTCAACCAGCTCCTGACTCTCTCTGCTTTCCCATCTCACCTCTGGACAGAAGCTGCCCCTTTGGTCTCTTGTATCTACTTGACTAAGAGGCACATTCTTCAC